GCAAAGGGGTAAAGTCTGGGCGCCTTGGCAATCAGGGCTGGGCCCCCTGAAACAGACATTCCAGGGGACCCGCAATCTCCACAGTGGGATCCAGGTGCATGGGTTGTGTAGGAAGAAAACAGACACTGAGACACCACTCTTGAGACGCGGCTCAGGGGAAAGTATCTAAATCAGGAGGGACATTTCGATCTAGCCAACATTTTCCAAACTTTTTTTTTTTGTACTGTTGTTTGGTTTTTGGCAAAGGTGGAAGTGTGTAAGGGGGAGGGGTGTGGAAGAGGAATTATGGTTACATATTTTTGGGTACACTTCCTGCACTATCTATCTTACTCTTATTTTGTATATTTGAGGCTCCGAAAATTCTTGCAATTAAAAAAATATATGTATTTAACCTTGTTTAACAGACCATGTCCCAAACCCATTTGATTCAGCAACATTTTTCTTTAAATATTCATCTCTTTCTTATAAATTTAGCCTTCTGTAGACCATGATCTGGAAGACACTGATCTATTTCACAACCTCACTGAACAGGTAGGGACCCCAAGCTACAGAACAGCCAGCAGAGTATAGTGAGGAGTGGTCAGATATTCAGACAATGCAGGTTCCCACACCCAGGTGTCCAGCTGAGGGAGAGAATGGAGGCTGCCATCCTTCCCATGATTTGTTCTCTAAACTATGCAGGGAACTGTGTCCACCTGAAGGAAAAGGTGACTTTACTTATGGTACAAAATTGCTGCTATACACGAGTGACATGTACATAGGTTAGAGCAGAGCGGTTTGTTGGCAGGCTTTTCTATTCCCTGTATTAGATATATGACCTTGGGCAAGTCATTTCCCTTCCTTGAGCTCTGGGCTTGCTCATCCTGTTTTGAAACTATGCAATTTGAGAGAGAGGCACTCAGTAGCTGCCCATCGGTGGTGGTTCTCTCTTGAAGGATACTTTTAAGTGATACGGAGATAATAAAGATTTGGTCCCAACTGCCAGAAGCTCATTACCTGATAGAAAAGATAGATGCTCACACAGTGAATATAACCCAAAGCAGAGTGATAAGTACTGGAATTAAAAGTAGGGGGCACAGAGGAAGGAGGACTCATTTTCAGATAGAGGTGATGATGATGATTTGAGTGTTGCTAATAATTTTCGTTTTGCTAACAATAATGCAATAAAAGGAGCCTATTCTGATCAGTGATGCCTTCTCTGTGCCAGTCACCATGCTAGGCACTTAACCTGTGTTGCCTCTGATCCTCATGACATCCCTGACAGGTGGTAATCATCATCCCTACTTTATAGACGAGGGTGGTCATAAGAGGATACATAGAGTGCATCACATGTAAGCTGGACTTTGCAGGGTTCATAAGATTTAAAAGGGCCAAGAATCGGGAATAAAGATTGCAAGGCAGAGAAGGGAAACTAATGGACATGCTTAGGGGTTGGGCATAATTGGAAAATCTAGAGGTTCTCAGAATAAGATAACCAAGAGAACTTGAGTGATTGAGGTTGTAGGAGGAAGAAGGTTGGGTAATGAGGAAGAGACACTGAAAGCTGAGACTGGGAGAGCCACCCAGAGGCAGATTGTCAGTTTAGGTTCTTTCCCAGCAGGAGAAAATAGGAGACCAGGCTATGGAGGGCCCACATTTTCTAGTTATGTGCTGGGACTGTGCTGAGCTATCTTATTTGATCCTGTTGGGATCTGCACGAGCTAATTGATACTCAGAGACTTAAACCTACTTGTCCACAGATATAGGTCTATCTGTCCAATTCTGAGTAGCAAAGCTTCTACGCAGATTAAGCCACACAGATTAAGCTACAGATAAATACACACAGATTAATCTACAGACTAATACACACACAGAGTTGGACAGACAACTTGCCGATAGATATAGGTCTGTCTGTCCAACTCTGTGTGAGTTGGGGATTTTGATTGATTTTCCTGGGAAGTGAGTAATGTCTGTTTGTTTGGGTTTTGTTTTAAGAGATGGCCTATTGCTCTATTGCCCAAGTGGGAGTACAGTGGTACAATCATAGCTTACTGCAGCCTTGAACTCCTGGGCCCAAGCAATCCTCCTGTTTCGGCCTCCAAAGTAGCTGGGACTACAGGCACGTGCCACCATTCCCAGCTTAACTTTTTAAATTTTTTGTAGAGATGGGATCTCCCTGTGTTGCCCAAGCTGGTCTTAAACTCCTGGCCTCAAGCATTCCCACCGCCTTGGCTGCCCAAAGTGCTGGGATTACAAGCATGAGCCCTGACATTTTAAAGTACATTTGACCAATTTACAATGTATACACAGCCTTCCCAACAATTGCAAAATGGAAGTCAGGTGGCCATTTTCCTTCTCTCACCTTCACTATCCCTAGACAGTCATGGTCCTTCTGAAGTTGACCTCCTGTGCTTTCTCTTCTATCTTGTTGACGCAAAAAAAAAAAAAAAAAAAAAAAAAATCCTTTCAAGGCATAGGGGTAGGAAGGTAAATACCCACATGGACTCCTGTCCTGAAGATTTTCCCCCTGATATATTTGACAGACACTCAGCCTGGCTCTGTATTAGTGGGAAGACCTCAAGCAGCAAAAGGAAAACTTTCATCCACAGGGCTGTGTTGTTGCTTTTTTTTTTTTCCTTTGGGTGGGTTCCCCTTGGAGAGGTGGGGAAGAGAGAGGCCAGTGGGGCCTGGATTGCTGCTGTGGATTCTTCTGCCTTAGGGAAATGGAGGCTTCCCAAAGTATGAAAAAAAAAAAATCACGTACAAGCCAGGGAGAGGCTCCCACATCCCACTTCTCTGCTTTGGGCTAGGATGAATACCACTTCTTGAAAAGATTGGCTTCTGCAATTACCACTGAATAAACAACCAATTAAAATGTCTCCCCTGCCCCTACCCCACCCTTTTTCTCTTGAAGCTTTCTCATCTCAGAGCTATGGGGCAGAGGTGGCTTTCTCTAATAACATTTGTGTTCTCTGCCTGAGAGAACATTTGATGGAAATGAACAAATCAATTAGAAAATAATAAATTATGTGGAAAGGGCTGATCCAAGAAAATCTCAGCTCCTCTGTGTTTTCATTCTCCTCCCATGCATTGTTTCCCCTTTCACTGTGGGCCTGGGTGAGCTTGGAAATGAGGGTGAGGTTGTGGGAAGAGTTGGACACGTCTAGATTTGTACTTGGCCTTGTCGCCAGTTGTGTGATCTCTGAACCCCTGTTCCTTCATCTGTATGATGGGGATAAGTGATAGGAATAGCTAAACATGCACTGGGGCTTTCTACATGCCAGGCATTATTCTAAGCCCTTTATGCTCTCTTTATTAACTACCTTAACCCTCTGAACAGCTGTATGGGGTAGGTACTATTACCACACTCTTTCTGTATATAAAGAAACTGAGGTGCAGGAAGTTAAGTACATTGCCCAGGGTGGCCCAGCCATAAAGTGGAAGAGCTGGCTTCAAACCCAGGGTTGTAGCTTAAGAATGAGCCATCTCACCCACTCCGTTGCATTGCTTCAGCTACCAAACAGGGATGAGACATGTGTACCTAGCACAGGGTCTGGCATACAGCAAATGCTTAATAAATGTTGGCTGTCTCTTTCCTCGTTCTCTTCCCTGATGACAGAGCAGACTGAATAGAATTCCTCACAAGGCTTCCAGCCTAAGAAGTTGAATATGGGCTCTTGGGGAAGAGAAGGGCTCAGCAGCGAGATTTCAGGTCAATATCTGAGTTTGTGTGGCTATTCTTGGAATTAGTCAGCTCAACCTAGATATAGATGTAAGCTCTCCTGGGCCCACCTATATCTTCAACTCATGTTTTTTGCGAAAAGTTGTACAAATTATGGTCACAGGAATGTTTGGTTTCGTGAGCTTGGGGCTTTCTGTGACATGGGCGGCCATGACATGCTAGGTCTCAGATGTATCCTGTTCACAGCAGGGTAGAGGTGTAGGTTTTCCACCCACAGAAATGCTCTGTGGAGCATCAGGCAGCTGTTACTAATTTCAATGTATTGATAAGGAAACCAAGGCCCCATTAGTCAGGAATTATTGAATTTGAGACTGAGAGTTAAGTATTTTTACTCTTACTTTTCCCAATTTAATTCAATTTCATCAAAATCTACTGAGGGCTCACCGGGTATCAAGCTTTGTGCCAAGAACTGGGCAAACAGAGATGAATAGGGCACCTCCCCTTCCCCCAGGTGGCCACAAGTATGTATTATATAATAGAAAGAGGAAGCAATTTATTGAAATGGCAAACGAGAGAGAGTGCACTGCTAGTAGGAGGTGGACGAGTATGGAGATGTTAAAAGGGGTGCAGGTGAAAAGAGCATCAGGGAAGTCTTCCTGGAGGAGGGATACCAGAACAGACTTTGTATTTGTTCATCAGAGAACAAAATGCTGATCAGAGTCCCAGCAGAGGAAACAGCATGAATAAAGGTACCAATGGGATAATGCACCACACAGGGTGCAGAGATGTTGTCTGTATGCAGTGGAGTGCTCAAGAGAGGTTGTAGAGAGAGATGAGGCTAAAGAGAAGTCTGTGTCTTGGAAGCCATGCTAGGAACTTGGACTTTCATATATGGGGAGGCCCTTCTATTATTCTAAGAGGTGACGAGTAGGAAACCATCATTAATGTGTGCTACTGGCTGGGCTCTGTGAGAACTCCTGGGGAGAGACAGCATTAAGAAAAAGGAAAACACTGCCAAGTAGCAGCTTGAACTTAGTTAGGTATGAAGAAGGTTCTCTAAGCCTCTGGAGATAATGATACTACCCTACATCTCTATTCATAAGAAGCCTAACAACTTTGGCAAGCCTCTTAAACTCTCGAGGACTTAATTTTATGATCTGTAAAATGGAATCATCTTACTTATAATATTATTGGGGGAATTCAATAAGGTAGTGTTTATAAAGTGCTTAGCAAAGTGCCTGGCACACAAAGTAGCTCTAAATTATTTGGAGTGTGCCTATTATTTAAACAGTATCTTTTTGGGGGCATGATAACAGTCAAGGTTCTTTTTCTGTTTCAGAGCCTACTTGGATGTTAATGAGCTGAAGAACATTCTTAGATTGGATGGATCAACACATCTCAATATTTTCTTTGCAAACTCCTCAGAGGAGGAGTTGGCAGGAGTAGCAACTTGGCCATGGGACAAGGAGGCTCTAATGCACTTAGGTGAGTCTTAGAAACTCCTTCAGGAGGCAACTGGAGTAGCACAGTAATACATTTAGTGCGATGCTGATCATTGTTGTGATCATGATGGTGGTGGTGGTAGTCATGAGGGTGAAAAACCCATTTATTTATCACTTTTTAATTTACAAAACTCTTTAGCATCCTTTATCTCATTTTGACCACCAAGCAATTTTCTGAAGGAAATAGCACCGTATTATTAACCATGTTTTATCAATGAGGAAATGAGACCCAGAGAGGAAATGGGGCTTATCCAACATCATACACAAGACAGTGACAGTCACAATTGGAATCTAAGTTTCCAACACTGTCCATTGTTTGCTTTCTCCTTATACCCTCTGCCTCCTAGTTCCCGCAAATATCTTCTTAGTCTGGTAACCACACTGTACTGGCACAGCCAGTCATGGGTTGGCTTGAAAGACACCAAAGAGGCAAGAAAAAGTGAGTTCGCAAGAACTCCATGTTCCTCCATGTTCCACCCACCAACACCAACAGGAACTCTTCTTACATTCAAATTATACATATCCATAAACAAGACATAAGTTTGTACAAACCAATCACCAAAAGTTAGACATGACAACAGTTTCTGAACCAGGCCCTGTAAGCAAACATTGTAGTTCTTTAATTTTATTTTTTCCATGGTCTCTTCCAGGACACATCTATATGTAAACATGCATTTTTTTTAACTGTACATTTTAAAAATCATAGCATAGATGAAATTCTGTGTTCTTTTTTCACTTAATATTATACTATCTCCTTTTTTTCCCATGTTGCAGAAGTCTTTTCCTTAACTTCCCACACATTTTTTTTCACTTAAAATCACAAAAGAAAAGCACCCTTCTGGGTTATTTCCCCCTCTCTAAAGACAAGATTTTTAATAGCCACATAATATTCCCTTGAACAAGGGCACTGCCATTTATTTAATAATTTTCCCTTTGGTAGAATGTTCCCATTATTTACAAGAATGAATCGTGATGACTCAGTGAACATCTTTATCTGAGAATGTTCAGGCTCAGCAGTGACAGTGCTGACTCTATCCTCAGGCCTGCCTGGTCTCCCGGTGAAACATAGTCCAGTAGCTGCTCCACTGCTATTCTGTCTTGGAAATTAGAAATTCAAATAATGGAAGTTTTGCTGAATGAAACCATAGACTTAGTTTCCTCCAGACGACTCTCATGTCTCAATTGTTTTTTAGAGAATGAAACCAATTTGTGTGTGCGTGTGTGTGTATGTGTGCCTGTGTGTGGTTGTATAAATAAAGATAGATACAAAGATAAATATCTACTTGTTCTCAGCTGGGAGGATTTTATGCCCCAGGAGACATTTGGCAATATCTAGAGACATTTTTGCTTCTTACAAATGGGGGAATGCTACTGGCATCTAGTGGGTAGAAGCCAGTGATGCTGCTAAATGTCCACAATGTCCACTACAAAGAATTATGCAGACTAAAAAGTCAATAGTGCTGAGATTGAGAAATCCTGAGATAGCTGATGTATGGGTATCTACATAGGCATATGTAGATAGGCAGATAGACAGACACAGACAAGCGGGGTTGGGCAGAAGAGAGCGTGCAGCTTAGGCAAATTTGAAGGTGATCAGCTTATATCACATACCTAGTATGATGTATGGAAGTAATGCTAGACTAGAGCCAAAATTCGTGTTTGTTTTCAGCTGTGACTTTACTTAGCAGTATGGCCTTAGGCAATTATCCTTCCTTCTTCAGGTCTCAGTGTCCTTCAGTATTAAGTAAGCAGGTCCTAGGAGGCCAGAAGACCCTAAGGATCCTTCTCAATTCTGAAATTCTGTCCTATTAGAAAAGCAACTGAAAGGGCCATGATCAGAGTCTGAGAAGGATTGAGTAGCAGGCTTCTACAGTTAGAAAAAACTACTCCTGATAATTCCATAAATTTCAGAGACTGGCTCAGGGCCAGGAATAAGGGAGGCTATAAATCCATAGCATGTTATAGTATTTCAGGATGATGTCAGGCTCAAGCTATTTCACCTTTTAAGAGAAGCAATGAAACAGGACTGGGGCCCAAGTGCTGTCACTCTGTGAAAAGGGGTGAGTTGGGAGGGGATGAGGTAAAGCAAACAGGGTTAGCCTAGACATTAAGTCTGCAATCCAGTCATCATCCCTGGAACGGTCCTTTCCTCTCATTACCTTAATAATGAAGCTTCATGGAGAGACAGAGAATCATTGGCATTATTGTAGCTGCTTATTTTAGAGCTCACCAGAGATGCAAAGTCCATTTTCCATAGTCACAAGGCCAGTGTGAAGCAGAACAAGGATTGCAACCCATGTCAGCTAACTCCAGCTGGACTCCAGGCTGCCCTCTCCCCATCCCAAGAGATGCTGCTCATGAGTAATTCCTCTGCAGTAGCCCCAGTCAAACCCAATTTATTACAACCATATTTTTCCTCTCTTTTTCTGCTGTTACACCATGATCCCTGGAAAAAGTCTTGGGTGGGAAGCAGATTATGTTTCATGTTGTGATTGACAGAAAATAATTGAGAAAGATTTCCTGTCTCAATTTCTCTTCCTCCCTGCCTCTGCCTGCCCTCTTCTCATACCCAAGTGCATGTGCACACCCACACACTCACATGCCCTCTCACACATCTTTATCTTTGTGTTAGAAACCTCTAAGCAATTCAAAATTGCTCAGAAATTCAATCTCAGAAATCAAGTCCTCCAGTGACCCTAACATGGAGACAGAGTCCTTCTTCAAAATCAGAGACCTCTGCATAGACTCTATGAGTCCCTTGACTGAGCAAGCACACCATTCCAGAGGTTCAGTCTAAGATGAAACTCCACATGCCCATGTGGGGCTTGCCAGCTCAAATCAACAAGACCCTAACTCCTCACTATTTTTATAAGATGCTGCTCTACACCTAAAGTGCCTACTTTCAAGGTTCACAGACCTGAGTTTTAACCTTCCCCTAAACATTGTTAAATTTTAAAGTTTAATTATCTCTCTGACAGCCTGTATGCATCTTTCCAATGCCTAACATGAACACAGCACAAATACTACCCATAAATTCTGCTGAGATCTGTTCTGTCTATCTGCCCGAGCCAAGCAATTTTCAATTTTTTGAGGCATGTGGTATAGACCATTGCTTCTCAAACTAGAATATACAGACAAGTCATTCAAGGCTCTTTTTAAAATACAGATTGTACTTCTGTAGGTCTGGGGTGAGGCCTGCGATTCTGCATTTCTACTAAGCCCTCAGGTGATGATCATGCTGCTTGTCCTCAGGTGATGTACTTGATGTATGGAGGTGCTATTCTAGCTGCTCACACTAGATTAGCTAAACCTCACAAACTTCTTTAGATGAGTTAACATTCAGCAAATATTCAACACACATTTAATGAGATACTCAGCTCCAGGCCCTTTGATAGTCATTAACTATAGAATATTGATTAAGAGTCCTGCTCAAGTGACATTAGCTAGTATGAAAACTGTTATAATAGTGAATACAACATGGTGCTGACCTTCATGAGTGTTCATGCTCTTACAGCATCAGAGATGAAGATATGAGGTTCAGAGATGCTAATTAATCCACTCGATGTCACAGAGTTAGTGAAGGCAAAATGAGAACCAGAACCAAGATCTCTGACCCTGAGGGCTTTGTCTAGACAAGAATATGTAGAATATTTGGAAATAGGAGTAGGCCTTACTTTGTAAGGGAGAGGTTGCAGCAGAAAGGTTTACTGGCCCAGAAATCAGAATTTCTGAATTGCTCTCCATTGAAATAGTTTGAAATCACCTTGGGTAAGTCCCTTCACTTCTTTAGGCATTGGCGTTTTCATACGAAAAATGAAGGAATTGTACAAAATGACTTTTGAGATTCCTTCCTGCTCTGATAAGTCATGATTCATGTCACAGGTTGTAACAGCTCTCAGGGCAATGGAGTCCTAGGGTGGAGAAGCTTGTGTTTATTTTGGGCAGCATCTCTTTATTCTTGGTGGACTTGAGGGTTCTTGTACCAAGAAGCAGAGTACCTAGTTTGCCTGATTCTCTGGATTTCTCCTTACAGGTGGCATTGTCTTGAACCCATCTTTCTATGGCATGCCTGGGCACACCCATACCATGATCCATGAGATTGGTCACAGCCTGGGCCTCTATCACGTCTTCCGAGGCATCTCAGAAATCCAGTCTTGCAGTGACCCCTGCATGGAGACAGAGCCCTCCTTCGAGACTGGAGACCTCTGCAATGATACCAACCCAGCCCCTAAACACAAGTCCTGCGGTGACCCAGGGCCGGGAAATGACACCTGTGGCTTTCATAGCTTCTTCAACACTCCTTACAACAACTTCATGAGCTATGCAGGTAGGGCCCTACACTCTGTAGGGTGAACAGGACTGGATGTCAGATGTGGGATCCAATCCTGGCTTGGGGGAGCCTTGAATGAGCTACTTACCTTTTCTAAGGATGGAAGGTCTAGCTCTGCCACTCATCCACCTAATGTCTTTGGGTTATTCTCTTTCTGGGTTTCACTTTTCTCAAGACAATGGAATTGTTGGACTTGCATCTCCATGATCCTTCCTAAATGTGCAGCACATTTTTCTAAGCTCGTGGTTGTTGAACTTTTTTTATTTAACCCATGTGTCCCTTAGATAAGCATAAAACTCTCACATTCTCTGTTATTATGTTTTACAAGAACAATAAGATTGCTTTGGATTTTGCAAAGAGAAAATCATGACATGAGATTGGGTATGATTTTTTTTTTCCTAACTGAATATATCTCATCATAGTCCATTTGTGTACCACTAGTAACAGTGTTAGGAGCATTAGGGGATACCCTACACTTCCCTTTAGGACAAGATACATCAAGGCCTTTGAGCCCTTTTAGCACCTTTGGCAAATTAGAACAAGACACCCCTTCCTCAGGGCTGTCATAGCCCTTACCACTGCACCTTCAGCTAAGAGTCTTTGTGTTTGTCACAATGCACACAACTGCACATGGCGGGCCAGCATCAAATTCTGTTATCATACTCAACTTGGTGTCTCTTTCCCCGCTAGAACAAGCAAATTCTATCAATGAAAAGATTGCATCTAATACATCATTCTATTCTCAGAAGTTAGCACAGGGGCCAGTGCTTAATAAATGTTTGTTAGGAAAGGAAGAAGTAAAGAAAGAAAGGGAGGAGAGAGGGAGAGTTGGAGGGAAGGAGGAAAATGAATAAATTCTCTTATAACGGGTATATAAAATTTATTATTTTCAAAAGCAATATTTCTACTCATGTAACAAAATATTGTCCAGAAAGGCCTTTAATATGCTCTCTCTCATTTAATTCTCACAACAAATGTGTAGAGTTAGAACTATCCCCACTCTGCAGATGGCAGCATTGAAGCTCACTGAAGTCATTTGCACCAAGTCACATATCTGCCTCCAACTATTTTTCTCTTTTACTCTTATATTTCTTCTGAAGACAGCTAGCTGATGGTTGAGTGGGGAAACTGAGCAACTTGGGTAGCTTTTACACTCTATTCCACAGAGATGCTTCAGGGCACTGCCCTGGTGGCTATATGAGTAGGGCTTTAGGCTCTCATTCCTGCTGGAGCCAGGGAAAGCGCACCCACTTTCTGACTATTTTACATTTCTGTTGAGGTTTTGCCTCATTGCATTTGAAGAGAGGAATTTGCTGCTGGAATGCAAAGGGTTCTGTGATCCCCAGTGGTTCTTTCTGCTTGTCCATTTGGGCTGATGACCCCTGGGGGCCTCTCCAGTATAAGGTTCATACAGTCCAAACCTAAATTAAAGTGTCAATAACCCACCTCTGGTACAATTAAGAGTCTTAGATTTGAGTGCTCAAAAACGACCAGGGTGCTGGGTATTTCCTGAAAAGCAGATTCCCACTGGGCTCCCATTCCCAGCCAAGCTGACACCCCGTATCCGGTGCCCCATCCCCTCATACAACATTGCTTACGTTCCATTTCTGTAGCACCTTTTCTTGGCCAGCTCAACGTACATGCAAAATAAACAATAACATAAGTTTGGAAGTTTGCCGGCCTCTTAGGGGCTAGGAGCTGCCACTAGCTACCAGACCCCCATAAACTAAATCTTTTTTTGTTCCCCTTTGTACAGATCTAAAGGGTGATTGATTTACTGTTTTTTTTAAAGGAACCCCTCAGCTCAGTGACCCATTAACAGCAGAACTAATTCACTGAGCTACGATAACAAACTTACACCCACAAAAGCATATTCAAGGCGACCACGAGCTTTGAAATGTTTGTTTTCCTTAGGATTTCTGATAGATGAGGTGACAAAAGCAGCTGGATGAAATTCAAAATGCAGAACAAGACTGGGTTCTCAGGGCTGCGGAGAGCCACCATGAGAGCTCTCTCCATCAAGACAATTGGGTGAAGACATTGCTGGGTCAACTTCTTCTTGTTGCTTTATCTTCCTGGGTGCTTCTTCTTCAGGCTTGATCACTAGTAGGGAAAAGGTTTGTGGCTCGGCATTGCCAACAGAACTTTCTGTGAAGATAGACATAGTTCGTATCTGTTCTGGCCAGTATGGTAGCCACTACCTGTACTACCTGTGTGGTAATTGAATGATTGAAATACAACTAGTGTGACTAATGACCTGATTTATCAATCTTATTTTAACTAATTTAAATCAGAATAGCTGCGCGTGGCTGGTGGCTACCATATTGGTTAGCTTAGGCCTGCAGTAATTCTTGAGTACGTGTGATATGCCGGACACTGTATGAAACTTTTCATAGGCTTGTCTCATTGAATCCCCAAAGTAGCCCAAGGAAGTGCACAAGTTTTACAGATGCAGAAAATGTGGTTCAGATAGCATAAGTATCTTGCCCAGCATCACAAAGTTAAAACAAGGCAAAAGTGAAACCTAAACCCAAGTGTTTCTTACTGCAGAACCTGTGTTATTAACTAGCAGATATCTGCCTCATTTTCTGGTTCTGGGGAAGGTTGAGAGTGCCCCAAATGCTCAGATCAAGCAGGCACCAGGCAGGTGATGGGGGGAAGCCTAATTCAGTAGGCAGGCTGGACGGAGCTCCAGAGGAGTATAGTTACGTGGAATTCTTGGGTAACTCTTGGAAACCTCAGCAGATAAAAGAGCAGCAGACTCAGTTCCACTTTCTGGAGATAATAGGCTATAAGAGTTCCTGGAGGAGGACACTCTGGTCCTCAAAAATGCAGGAAGCCAGGCTTTCTCTAGCCTACAGGAGCAAGTGTCTTGTCCCCATCTTTCTGTATGTCATGGCTTCTTAATATGCACACATAGATTGACCCAGCAATTCCACTTCTAAGGAATATATCCAAAGCAAATAAATCAATTGGTATGCTTAAAGAGTTAACCGTAAGAATGTTCTTAATGATATTTGTTTCCTAAATATTTATTAGGCATTTACTATATGCCAGGTATAGAAAAAAAAATGTATGAATAATTAGAAACTGCTTACGAGCCCAAAGATAATGGATTGCTGAAGTGAACTGCAAGGTATTCATGTGATAGAACATTATAGGGCCACTAAAGATGACAGAGAAGAAGGCTGAAGGACATGAACAGAAGTGGAGTAACATGGTGGTTCAAAGCATGAAATTTGGAGTGAGGAGACCAAAGTTGAATGTTCCGTGCCCAGCTTTGATCTTCAGCAGTTTACTTGTCCTCTCTGAGCCTCAGTTATTTCATTAATACCATTGATGATAAGGATGCTTGCCTTGCCTGATTGTAGGTGTAACAGTACAAGTGAAGCCGTTAGGTCTGTTATTGTTATAAATGCCAATCGATGATAGACTGGATAAAGAAAATGTGGTACATATATACCATGGAATACTATGCAGCCATAAAAAAGAATGAGATTATATCTTTTTCAGGGACACGGATGGAGCTGGAAGCCATTGTCCTTAGCAAACTAATACAAGAACAGAAAACCAAACACCACATGTTCTCACTTATAAGTGGGGGCTCAATGATGAGAACACATGGACACATAGAGGGGAACAACACTCACTGGGGTCTACTGAAGTGTGGAGGAGGGAGAGGATCAGGAAAAATTACTAATGGGTACTGGCCTTAATACTTGGGTGATGAAGTAATCTATAAAACTCCCATGATACAAGTTTACCTACGTAAAAAATCTGTGCATGTACTCCTGAACTTAAAATGCAAGTTAAAAAAAAAAAAAAAGAACTGTCCTTGGTATCATAATTAGTGCTCAACAAATGATGATTAGTAGGATTATTCATTGACTACTTACTGTGAAAAGGGTCAGAAAGCCATATATATCATGTAAGACCTGTACATATGTATGTGATAAGAATTACAGAAATTTACTGTAGATATTTACGTCCCTATACAAACAGATACATATACATACATATACACACATATACCTTAGACATCAATTTTATTATATATAGGTAATGAGTTCAGGGTAATGTTTATTTTTTGTAACATTTTCGACATATTCCAAATATTCTACAGTGAATTTTTTATTATAAATTTATTATCTACATTTATTATGACTATTATTACTATCATTATTTTTAAAAACATCAAAAAGACAGGGAGTTTTACACAAGGCAACTTAGTTATCCATTCACTAGACATTAGTTAGCTTGTTAAATGCTCTCATCAGCTTTATGAGACAGGTAACATCTTATTCCTCATTTTATGGTGGGTGAAAATGTGGTTGACAGGGGGTCAACATTGTGCCCAAGGTCCTAAGTGGAGTGAAGGCATGGTGTTCATGTCCTGAACCTCCATGCAGTGGGGCCTTTCAGCCACAGGTGAACATTTGTTCTTGAGAGCAAGCTTCAGTTAGCAAACCCAGGGTACTGTATCAACAGCGTGGGGACTAGCATAGGCTTCCCAGTGCTGAAGTCCCAAAGTTCTTTCTGCTTTGGGACAAGATGAAGACAGAAAAACAAGATGAGCTGGCCAGTCCTGGAGACCAGAAGAAGTGGCCATAGATTTCAAGAGGGGAGGCATTGGGGGGACGGAAGCCGAGTGGGGCCGACTCTAGACATTAGCTAATTGAGACAGAGTTTTTGTGATAAATGAAAACCCTTTGGTACCTCTCCCAAGATTTTGATAGCTGCTAAGTCTCCAAGTAGTGCACCTTGGGATAGATTTCGACTTCAGCTTTTCTTTTTTTTTTCTTTTGAGGTGGAGTCTTACTCTGTCACCCATGCTGGAGTGCAGTGGCATGATCTCAGCTCACTGCAACCTTTGCCTCCCAGGTTCAAGTGATTCTCCTGCCTCAGCCTCCTGAGTAGCTGGGATTACAGGCATGCACCACCACACCTGGCTAATTTTTGTATTTTTAGTGGAGATGGGGTTTCACCATGTTGGTCAGGCTGGTCTCGAACTCCTGACCTCGTGATCTGCCCACCCTGGCCTCCCAAAGTGCAGGGATTACAGGAGAGAGCCACTGTGTCCAGCTTCAACTTCAGCTTTAAAGTTCAAATACATTCCTGTCTCCCTACTAGGTTCCATCACCTATCCATTTTTTCAAACTTTTTTTTTATCGACAAATGTGAAAATGTTTCCTTTTTAGGTTATAAAAGAAAAATATACTTTTTTGTTGTGGGGGAAGCAAGTAGAGTAGATATTTATACAGGGAAAAAAACCTACTGTTTTTCAGCATCATTCATTTTGATAAATGCTTTTTGTGCTCTTGCTTGTTGAATTCTCACAAATTCATGGTTTGGAGTTTATTTAAATGCCCCCAATTTATGCACGAGGGAACTGAGTCTTAAAGTTATCTCATTTTTTGGTCATGCCTGATTAGTATTCTGTTCTATGTCTGTGCCTTAAAGTACACAGCCATTTCCCTGTAAATGAACAGATGTGCTATTTGTAATATTTTCACCATTATAAATTATGCTTCAAGAAACATCTTTGTATGTCTATTTTACCCATGTTTATCCTAGAGTATCTATCTTTTGAATCCATAAATTCCTTATTGTTAGATCAAAGAGAATGCATATTTTATATCCTGAATTTTTTTCCTGCTTCCAGTTTTGTAACACTCACACATACATGAGCACACACAAGCATACACACACACCACATACACACTATTTCCAATTCCCATTTACTAGCATTTGTCATGGGACAGGCATTGCTCTTAGTACCCCACATCACTGCACCTTGGCTGTGTTTTGAAATGAGCAATCGTGTTATCATCACTGTCTTCACTTCACAGATGGGGTAACTGAGGCACTGGGGGCAGAAAATCACTTGTCCATTTGACTCCAGATTCTATCTAGTCGTATGGCTATACTTCTTCCCTTAGCCATCATGCCCTTTTCCTGCATCTAACCTATTCGGTGGCTTTTCCAAAGCTTTCGAGATGAAGTCAAAAGTTCATGGCAACAAAGAAAAAGTGTCCAATTATCTGGCCCTTTTTGGACTGAGGACTCTTTCCTTGCAATAGGGAACCATAGAATGTTTGGTATTCAGGAGTTACATGGTGGGATCTGGGTTTGAGAGAGATTTACTCGTTTATTCACTATACTGTGTTTCTTAAGAGACACTGGGCTCTTCTGCTTCTCCTAATGTGTTAAAGACTTACCTGGGGTGCTGGAAAGGAGATTGGAAAAAATTACTAAGGGGATTTAAGGCAGCTTCTGTATAGAACCTCCTTTACACCTCTGCCCCTTCCCTAAGCTGGATTCTCAAAGCCATGTCTAACTGTCCAGCACCTGCCCAAACGTATTTAATGTTTGTTTGATAAGAAGAAACCAGTATATGCTGCAGGATTCCCAGTAGCGGATTTATTTTAAGATTGCAAGAGCCTTGTGCTCCTCTGTCTGGGGCCTAGCTGTGGGCTCCCTGACCAGGTGGACACCTCTGGGAAGTGGTGTTTTTGGAAATTAAGCCAAAACAGTGCCTTGTCCTGCCCCTGGGGCAGTTGAATGAAACTGCTGGAGGGAGAAATGGGAAGCAAGCGTTCTCCCTCAGGGCCAAGTCTTAGGTCATGCCCTGGAAAAGAGATTAGGATCAAAGGTCGTTAGATCCAAAGACACCTGAGAGATTGTGTTCCAAGCTCCCTTAGCCTCAGACTCAACTCCCATTTATCAACCACCTGCAGGATTTTATATCCATACAATGTCTCATTTATGCTTGAAAAGAAGTTCTCATATCTCATATTGATCAGAAGCACGGCCTTGAAGTCAGGACTGCCTGGGTTCAAATCCCAGATGTATCCCTAGCTTTGTGATTTTAAAATAGTTGTTTACCCTCTGTCAGCTTTAATATCCTTTTGTGTACAATAAGGAAAATAGTAATGCATACTCCAAAACTCGAGAGAAAGGAAGAGGTTTACCGTGTCTAAAGCACAGTGGACCAATGGCAGCACTGAGTGGGAGATGTTACTACTCATATTTTCAGCATGCACACTACCCTGGCTTGTTCCCAGGTCTGCCTGACTCCCTGGCCTGTGCTCTCTGCCTAGGGCACCATGCCTCTGTAGTCGTGCAGCACTTTCTCCTGCAGCCCCTCTCCTTTCTTTTCCAATCTTAGCCATGCAATCTGATCAACCTCAACTATCTCCTTTAGAAGACTTCCTGGTCACCTGCCTGTCCCTGCCCCCACCCATGCTGTCTTCCTCCCTTATCACTGATCGACATCACGGACTTTAGCAGCCTTGTAACAACCTTGACTCATACATTGGACTGGTCTTGACCTCATAACTAGACTGGTACCTCTTCATGGGCAGGAACTTTTAAAGTTTCATCTTTCCATGCCCTTGGGCACAGAGCAGAAATGTAGTAGACACTCAGAAGATTTGTTTGAAGGGCAATATCACCACATCAGTTAACAGTGAAATTAATAAATGAGTAGATGAAAGAATGTGAAGGAGTGAGTTGGAACCAGAGTGCATCAATGAATGAATGAATGAGTGAGTGCATAAACAAGTGAATGAATGAATGAATGAGACGTATTGAGTGGGGGTTGTGGGAGGGAGGAAGTAATGGAATTGTTGACTTAGTACCCGGTGGATCTGGGGGCCGTGGGAAATAGCTCGTCTTGCCTGTGTCCTTTGCCATGACCTCCGGGCTGCTCTCTTCCCAGTCTCAGCCATAGTTTTTCAGTTCCATCCACTCTTCCCTCCCTCCTGTTTCCTCTCACCTGTCTCCAGAAGTGATGACTACACTAATTTGTTCACAGGTCATTAACTCTTGAGCGCTGGAAGAGGCCAGCCCCGAGTTGGCAAGGAACGACTTGGGTGCTGGCTCTCGGGCCGCCAGGAGCCGTCATAACTCTCTCGTATGCCTGCCTGCCCTTGCAGCATGATGCTTATCTCTCCCTCTGCCTGCTTGCAGATGACGACTGTACGGACTCCTTCACGCCCAATCAAGTCGCCAGAATGCACTGTTACCTGGACCTGGTCTACCAGAGCTGGCAGCCCTCCAGGAAACCGGCGCCTGTTGCCCTCGCTCCCCAAGTTGTGGGCCACACAACGGACTCTGTGACACTGGAGTGGTTCCCACCTATAGATGGCCATTTCTTTGAAAGGTGAGTGTGCCCTGTGTAATGTTGATCCCTTTCTCTCTCTCCTGCCAAGAAGAGGGAAACTTGGAAGGGAAGCTGAGTTGGAGAGGGATTTTTACTGCATTTCTTGTTCTTGTTCAAAAGGTATCTCCACCACCTAGCATGCTTTAAATTTGGGATCAGGGAATAAATAAATGGTTGTTAATAGAAATGAATAAATAATAATAAATATTTTTAAGTGAATGGGTACTTAGATTCACTTTGTTATTAGAAACTTGGAACCCTCTTTTGCTACAGACCTCCTCTGGGATGGAGGTACTAGTCTTGTCTCCATGAGCTCAGGAGTTGTGATTGCCTAGGCAAAAACGTTTATATTATATTATATTATTATATTATATTATATTATATTTCAATTAGATTATATCATATATATACTTATATATGGATATATATATGTGTGTATCACGTTTGTATATAAGTACATATTTACATAAAAGAATACATATACAAGGCCGGGTACGGTGGCTCACACCTGTAATTCTAGCACTTTGGGAAGCCAACGCAGGCAGATCATGAGGTCAGGAGTTGGAGACTAGTCTGACCAACATGGTGAAACCCCGTCTCTACTAAAACACAAAAAGTAGCCGGGCATGGTGGGGGGCGCCTGTAATCCCAGCTACTCAGGAGGCTAAGGCAGGAGAATCGCTTGAACCCGGGAGGCGGAGGTTGCAGTGAGCCGAGATGGTACCACCACACCCCAGCCTGGGTGACAGAGTGAGACTCTGTCTCAAAAAAAAAAAAAAAGAAAGAAAAGAAAAAAGAATACATATACATATATAACATATAAACACAATTTTTGACTGTGCCAAATTTTTTTTTATTATTTTGTAGAACTAAAGGTAGCATTTTTATAAGACCAGGGAATGATAAACTAAGGCACAAGATACCTCTGTTCTGCTGCCCTGACTGTTCATTAACCACATGGCCTTGAGAAGGTCACTTTCTCTCTCTAAGCCTAATTCTCCCTTCCCTGAAAACTGGGTCTAATGATACTACAGTGGCTTGAAGGTGGAGACCTGAATCAAATGGTCTCTTGTGATACTTTCCCCCATATAGACTCCTTGAGGAGCTCAAGCTCTAAGGGGACCAGATTTAAAAGGGTCATGAAAATAGACCAAGATATTTGCATCTATTTTGGAATTTTGCCGTAATTCAGGGAAGATTAGTGTATTACCCCTATGCCCAGCCCTTCTTTGGGATGCTTCATCTACTAATGGTGATATATTAATGATGGCAAAAATAATAACCATGCTAACAATTAGTTAATATTACTTTATTGTAGTTGCTGGGATCTATCAAGTGCTTACTATGTGAGGGATTCTCTACCAAATGCTTTACATACAGAATCTTATGTAATCTTTCTGGTAACCTTGTACAAAACGAATCATCTTCCTCATTTGCTAGATAAAAAAGAGAACTGGAGCTGAAAGAGGCTGAAAGGTGACCAGAGAGCCATAGAAAGTGGTAGGGACTGGGCTTCAGCTCCTGTTTTGTATTGTGTTATCTCAGACTCCTATGTGCTTTCATTAAGTTGTTTCAAAACTAGAATTGGAGAAAAGGCATTACACTGCCCCCCGCAAGAAAAAATAAATAAAAGCCACAAAAAGAAGCAAGAAATTCTCATTTACAAGTGTATTTGTCTGAATTTGTGTGTATGTCAAAGATATATTAGGCAAAGGACCTAAATAGACACTTCAAGACACACAAATGGCCAACAGCTATGTGGAAGAAATGCTCAACCTCACTAGTCATCAGGAAAAGGCAAATTAAAACCACAAAAAGATATCACCACACCCCTGTTAGAATGGCTATTACCAAAAAGATGAAAGATAACAAGTGTTAGCCAGGGTATGGAGAAAAGGGACCACCTGAGCACTGGCAGTGGGAATGTAGGTTAATATAGCCATCACGGAAAAGAGTATGGGGGTTCCTCAGAACATTCAAAATAGAACTGCCATATAATCCAGGAATCTCAATTCTCTGTATATATTTAAAGAAATTGAAATTAGTATGCCAAAGAGATTGCTACACTCCCATGTTCACTGTACATTATTCACAATAGCTAAAATACAGTCAACCTAGGAGTCCATCATCAGATGAACAGGTAAAGAAAATGTGGTACACAGATGGTCTCCAATTTATGATAATTTGACTTCCACTTTTTTTATCTTCACAGTGATTAAAAAGCAATATGCATTCAGCATTTCTTTGAGTATTAAGATGGTATAAACCTATTTTAAGTTGAAAATATCTAAGTCAAAAGTGCATTGTCAACTTACCGTATTTTCAACTTAAAATAGGTTTATTGAGTGAGTCCTAACCCCATTGTAAGTCAAGGAGCATCTGTATATACACAGTGGAATACTACTATTCAGCCTTAAAAGGGGGAAAATTCTGTCATTTTCAACAAAATGAATGAACCTGGAAGACATTATGCTAAGTGAAATAAGACAGGCACAGAAAGACAAATAACTGCATGCTCTCACATATATGTGGAATCTAAAAAAATTGAATTCATAGAGGTAGAAAGTAGAATGATGACCACCAGAGGCAGGTGGGGTGAGTGGGGAAAGGGACGATGTTGATCAAAGGGCATAAAGTTTCAGGTAGATGGGAGGAATAAGCTTTAGTGATCTGTTGCACAGAATCGTGACTCTAATAAATGATAATGCATTGTATATTTCAAATTTGTGAGAAGAATAGATTTCAAATGTTTTTGCCAAAAAAAATAAGTGTGAGAGATGATGGATTTGTTAATTTGCCCAATTTATTCACTCCACATTGTAAACAAATATCAAAACATCACACTGTACTCCATAAATATATACACAATCATATGTCAATTAAAATAAAATTTTAAAAATTTTGAAACATATTTGATCCCAGTACCACATAAAATGTGGGCACTAATTTTTCATCACATTACCATCAGTACCTGAGTCTAGAACCTTCTTTGGCAGCTGGCAAATGTGATCATCAGGGCAGGAAATGCACTTCCTACGCTCTCTGTAGAAATTCCCCTTCCCCTGCCCCAGCCATCCTCACTGGGAGCGCAGAGCTGGGTTTGGGAAACCTCGTGTGACACTTCAGAGCTTTCCAGCAGCCCATAGATTTATTTATTTTTTCTGTGGTGATGAGAAGTATCAGACTTTTGGTCAAGCCTTGGCCTCCATTCCACTTAAAAATGGAAGTTTTGTAAATGAAGCTTCCTGTGTATGTATTTAATTTATATTTCATAAAGCAGTTATTGTCCATTAAATAAATACCACCTGATTGTTGGAAACCTATTGGAGGGTTAATTGTTGTGTAATGAGATATGTCTCTATTACACAGTGTCCTCAGCTTCAATCAATATGTTTTTAATAACCTATAGTCAGTTGGTTCTTGAGGCTCATACAATCGCTATTCTGTTCAGTTTAAGATTTCATAACATAGTTATCATACGTTAAATTAAAACTGACATTTCCAAAACATATCTAATTAGAGTTAGCAGCTACATTGACCATAGTCTATGGCTAAAAGAAGTCAGTCCACAAGTTCAATAAATTGTTGTAAAGAAATGGAACTGTCTTTAATGTATATCACTCTCCCACACAGATGGAATTTATACTCATGCAAGTTGGCTTAGTAGAAAGTGTACAAGCTTTAATGTCAGGTCATCCATTTCCCATCCTCAGCTTTATCATTCCCAGTCAATGGGACCTTGAGCAAAGCCATCTCACCTCTGATCCTCTGGGTCTTCTTCCATCAAAATGTGCTAATCATGCCCACGTCACCTAGCTTTTGTGAAGAATTCAGCAAGATAACTGTGAAATGCCAAGCACACACACTCTATGTTCAAGAAATATCAGCTCCCATTTTGTGCAACATTTTCCAGAGCTGTTTAGCTACTTGAAAATTCCCTTTCTCTGCAAAGCCTCTGGTGTTTTCCACTACATCCATCAATGCCAACCTCTCGCCCCTGGCCATCCTCATGTCCTCCTGCTGTTCTCACATCTGTGGTCTAAGAGAATACAAGGGTTTCCCTTAAAAAAACATATTCAGATCCTCCCACAGCCTGTGTCCTCACACATGGGCAACTGAATAAATAATTCAAGGCCACCCCTGGTTTTCCTAACTCCTTTATTTTTATCTGTCTTGCAAACACGTGTTGACTGGGTGGTTTCAGTTATCTGACAATTGGCCATGGTGTATTGGAAATAGTACTGGACTGAAAACCAAGAAACCTGGGTCTGAAGTCTTTGTGACCTCATCCATTCCCTCTGCCTTTGGTCTCAGTTTTCTGATCCGTAAGTCAAAGAAGTTCTGGCCTTTCTCAACCAAGGTTCCTCTTCTAAATTTTAAGATGTGGAAAATGATTTAAGTAACTATTTCCTCATTTCTCCCAAAGATGGTACATAATAAGTACTATTTTAGTTTCACAGGAGACAAGTTAATTCATTATATATAATGGATGCCTTGAAGAAACACTGTCCAATAAGATTTGCTGCAATCATGGAAATATTCTATATCAGCACTAAGATTACAGCCATTAGCCAACTGGGGCTTGAAATGTTACGGTGTGACTGAAGAATCAAATGTCAAAATGTATTTATTTTTAATTAAATTAAATTTAAATAGCCACATAAGGCTAATAGCTGCCATAGTGGACAGCACATACTTAGAGCTTTAAGCTTTGATTTTCATGAAACCCAAGTAAGAAAGATGAGCTCTCCCAGCTTTGGTATCCTGCATGTCTATGATTTCATTGTGCATGTTTGTGTATGTTTATGTGTAAATATAGGCACCCATGAAGACAAAATGAATGCGAAAGTTAGGAAACACATACAATTCCTAGATGTGTAGGACAGGACATCATACATATGCTTCAGCTGGATGATGATTTGTGCACTCATCAAAGTATTTATTGGGAGCCTGGGACATATCAAGAATTCACTGAAACTCAGGTGGCTTTATGTGTATCGCCCACAATAAAACATCTAAGGGATATAGAAAGAAGGAATGAATGACCATCAAGGTCAGCATGGTTCCTGAATTCATCCCAGAACATTTGTAATCCCAGTGTCAATCTAAAGCCAGTCATGTGACTCAGAGCCACTAAGCGTGGATTGTGGTCATCCTAAGGGAACTCTGCCTTCATTAGCAGTGCTGAGGAAGTCTCTCTCTCCACTCCTACTTTTCTGCATATGAGTATATTTGTATAATTGTTATTATTGCTACTCCAAGAGTAACTCATGTATTTAAAATATTGAGAAAATTTAGAAAACCAGAAAGAGTAATAATAGGGGGTGGGATCCATCATCCTATATTCCATTTCCCAGAAATTGCTGCTGATAATATTTTGTTTCATAAGGTTATTTGAACATTGAGATACTGCTGTAGATTTAGCTTTGGATGTGACTTTTTCATTTAATATTATAGCTTACACATTTTCCATGAAGTTGCATAATCTTTATAAATATTTCTGCAATAACTGCTTGCCATTCCATTAAGCATATTAACCATGGACTATTTAATGATTATCTTATCACTGAATATTAATATTAGTGTGCTTGCAAAATTTCCACCTACATATGGGTTCATACTTACAATGATAAGGCTGAGAACGCAAAACCTACAATTTGAAGATCTGCACTAGGTTAGCCATGAGTATTAGCACATGCTTAAGTGACTAGTATCCATCCATCCATCCATCTATCCATCCATCCATCCATGCATCCATTCAACTGCTTATACTGACCAACATTATAAAATAAGTTGTGTGCTGTGCCGTGTGAGATAAAAAGATAGTTATTAGATATTGACTTTGTCCTCAAGGACCTCACAATCTTTTGGGGGAAACTCTTTTGCATGTCGAAAAAAATGTCTTCACAGAGGAAATGATGTCCAAGGTGAACTCGAAGGAGGAGAAACATCAGCCAAGTGAAAAAAGTCTGCAGAGGGGATTTGGGTAACATGACACAACATGATAGGTAGGCACAGCTTATCGTGGAGAGAAACAAAGCTAGAGTGAAGCAGAGGATAGTATGAAAGAGGATTGAATACCACATCACAGGGCATTAGGGGATAAAATCACAGAAAGAGGTAAGCAGGGGCATGACCTGTTCATCTTGAGGTTTGGGGATGATCTCCTGTCAGCTGTGTGGAGGAGGAACAGGGAGAAACCACACACTGTGACGCTTACAAGCACAAGGTTCCTGACTGTGTGAGCCCAGAGGCATAGTGAATGTCTCTGTGAGGGGAAAGCCATAAGGCTTCAGACCTGGCTTCTCCCTTGCATCCTTTCAGGTAGCCAAAGCACAGACGTTCTTCCAGGAATTATGACAGAGTTATCATCAGGACCATTGCACTTTGAGAAATAACGGGTTGTGCTGGGACATTTCTCAACATCTTCCCGAGATTTCATTTCCAGTCCCTCTGCAGAGGTCACTCAGATTTGCTGGTTTTGGTTCACAACAAGACAGGAGAAGAGGACTCATTCCTCTCCCTTCTCCACAACTGCCTCATAAACAGATGCCAAATCTGGAAAATGAGTAGGATCCCAGAGACTGCTATGGCCAAAGGAAGATTGAATCCAGATACACAAGACACAAGTTGGTAGGGGAAGCCATCGTAATATTCCACTTCTGGGACTGGTCCCATTGAGGGATTGGCTAGCCCCTTGGAAAGCTGCTAAAATGAATTAGATGGCATGGTAGAGAAACTGCTTTTGACTGTAAAATCGAGGAGTGACTCATCCATCCACAGAATGTCAAGGCTGGAAGGTTCTTTAGCCATCGTTTAATCCAGCCCTCTTATTTTCAGATGAAGGAACCATGCCCTCTTCGTATTTAATGCCTAAAACACAGGATGGTGTCTGGCACATAATAGGTACCTGATAAATATTGTAAAAGGAGTAAACTTTGAGAATGAAATGGAGCAAAAGGTTTTCTCGTAACTACATTGCAAATCTTCAGTGGAACTTTACATGCCTGATAAAATTAAAATTACCGCAGGTGGTGAGTCTTCAGCCTGTTGACTTCGTGCTGCTAAAAATCAGAGAAATGTGTACATCATCAGAACAGAGGCCACTTAGGCCCAAACAAGGTTCTTGCTGGGCAATGGGGAGGCATTTCACTTATGGTTATTTCTAGAAGCCTTGGCATAGGTAGGGAGGAAAGGGGGAAACACAGATTTGCTGTGTCCTCTGCCCCATTGACTCTGGCCTAGTCCCATCAGTTGCTCATTCAACTGTTCCTAAGTCGGTGCATTTTCCCTTTCCTTGGCCTCCTAGAGAATTGGGATCAGCATGTGATCTTTGCCTGGAAGGGAGAATCCTGGTACAGTATGCTTTCAACGCCTCCTCCCCAATGCCCTGCAGCCCATCAGGACACTGGAGCCCTCGTGAAGCAGAAGGTAAGTCAGCCTTCTGGAAGCTCACTGACAGGTGGAGTGTGCAAAGAACAGGTCTTTCAATATATCTGGAGTAGTATGATTTTTATGGGTCTTTCTCATGTATCATTTCATTTGATTAACATCATCCTGCAAGGTTAGTAGTCAAGTGCTCATCCATTTGACAAACACTTTTTGAGCACCTGCACCATCCTAACATGTTCTCGTATTACAAATGAGGAAACAAAGACACTAAGATATTAAAGAGGCGCCCAAGGCCACACACCTGATACAAGCACAGTGTCTTGGGGGTATTTATATATCCTTCAGTCCCCAACTGCTTGTAGTTAGTTACAAACAAGGTCACTTTAGAGTCAATACAAATATTTTGGGGCTTCAAGGCATCAGTGGTCTTTGATTCTTCTTCTGTTATTTCTTAGACTATACAGAGCACTTTCACATGCATTGCAACTATTCCTTTTAATTTCTTCTATGTACCCTCTTTTTGAGATCTATTTACCTGTAATACACTTAATGGAAGTGCCTTATGATTGCCACTGTTATGGGTTCCACCCACTATCAGACTTTTCCCTGCTCAGGAGTGTCTCACCAGCTTCCCAAGGAACCAATGATCTCTGTGCTTTCTTACATCATTATTGAAATTAAGAGAAGAATACCTTTTGCCAAACGCTTGTTGTCACTTGGCCTCAGAACCAGGCTGGCAGAGGCTCCATACTTTCCTCTTATTGTTTCATCTCCCCATCACTGGTCCTCTGGGTTGTGCACATAGACCCTGCCCCCACCCAGTCCATCTTGCTCCTCTGCAGGTCAGCTCATGCCAGCAGTCACTGAGCGAGCACACTATTACACCAGTGCATCAGAGGGAGCGGAATCAGTCTTCTCACTGAACACCAGTGAGAACTCCTCCGCTATCCTCTATATTTTTAGAAAGAAGGTTGAAAAGAAAAAGCCAGAGATAGAATAAAGCAAGGGGGAAGGATCAGAGAGGAAAGTGAAGTTGAAAAACGACGGCACCGCACTTTATTTTTTAAAGTAGCTTAAAATAAAAATGAGAGTCAAACTTGGGAAGTCTAAACAAATCCATCTGGAATGTAAAGCAAGAGGGATGTCTGGGAAAAGCCCTCAGTTCAGCCTCACAGAATCACAGGCTATCAGACCTGAGAGGGACGCCTGGGGTCATGAGGCCCGGGCTCCCCCAAGGTGCAGGAATCCCCTCTATGTGCATCCTCACTGAGGTTCCCTGGCACCTGTTCAAGCTCCAGTTTTTTAGAAAGTTCTTGAAATCTGCAATTGTAATTTTTCCACCCAAACTGAACCCACTTTGGGTTGTCACAAAGAATGTGTCTCCGCCACCTGACAACATTTTGCATACTTGCATCTAGTGAACCCGTCTCACTAGTGACCAACACAGGCACTATATGCTGGGCACTGTCTTGGGCACATGGGCAAGGCAATGTTGAGTGTCTGCTAGGGAATTCAGATAAGTAAATGGCCAATTGCCATTCAATGTGAACAGGCTTATGGTAATAGAAGTACCAAGTGGTGCTGGGGGCCCATAAGAAGAGGACTTCATTCTGAACTGGAGACTCAGTCTTCCCACAAAATATCACAACATTATTAACAAGGTGCATCTGAGAATTTGAAAAAGTTTGGTATGTTCACAGAGTGGCTGTTTTCTAAATCTAGTTCAGAGGCTTATGGGGTTCCTGGAAACTTTTATAGGGTGTCCTCAAAGTCAAAAGTATTTTCATAAAATTACGTATGACATCATTTGCTTTTTCCACTCTCATTCACTCCTGAGAGTCCAATGGAGCTATCTGATAGACACATGACATGTGATGTCATTTGTGCTCTGATAGCTAGTGGAACACACTCTTACGTATTCTTGAATTTTCAAATTTCTTGGTTTTAGTTTACAATATGGAAACTACTAATAGATATAACCTGCATAAGCAAAAGTTCAGTAAGGCTGTAAGAGTTTAAGTAGGTTCAGAACATGTAAAACAAGGTGGAGGTGGCAGAGGTAAGACTCTAGGTGAGATGGATAATGGCCAGGTGAGGAAGGGTTTGGATTCACACCGAGGGCAATGAGAAAACCACGTGCCTTAGGGCATGATATATGGTATGACTTGGGTGTCGTAAAGATTGTTCAGGCTGCTGTGTGAAGAAGAGATCAAGAGAATTTGGTTGCTGGAGGAAGGGAAGCAGCAAGGTGGTTGTTGCCAAAATCCAGCTGAGGAATGATGGTGGGCTGGTGAGGTCGGTGGCTGTGAGAATGGAGAAAAGTTTATGGGGTTGAGAGGTACTTGGAAGGTAGAATTAGCAAGATTCTCCCCTGAGATGTCTCTGGCTAAAATTATCTTGCTTTGTTCTACCACTTGTTTGAATAAAATTATTTCCAGACATCTCCCCACACCTACATCCAACGCGACTATTAGTTGGTGAAGTTTGCTCCTAGTTTGTTCCTGACCTTCTTAAAGCATAATATGCAGAATGGAGTTCAACTGGAGGCACTGAGGTCTCTGGTTCCCTGAGCCAATTCGGAGCTCCAAGGAAACTCAGCAGCCCCGGGTTTTCCTCCTATGTAAATTTAGTACATGTGGGCCAGGAAAAGACACTGTTCTTTTTTTAGAGCATCCTATTACAGTCTCTGTGATCCTTTTGGCTCAGACCCTTTTAATATCCTTGAAGAAATAAACTTTTCCATGAGCCAAACTCTGCAATTTATTCCTCAACTCATTCTCATCCTATTTATCTTTGCATGTTTAAGTTTTTGGACTTCCCAAACTAACTTAAAACACCCAAATTCATGAGCAATGCCAGACATATCTGTAGGATTGGGGAAAAAACATGGGGAGTGCAGGGGAGAGAAAGGAGGAGGATTGGATCATGGTCTCAGACCTACTATTGATGTACTCTGTGCCCTTGAGTGAGTCACATAGCTTCTCTGAAAATGGCATTGTATCCGCAGAATGAAAAGTTCAACTATAATGTGTCCCTTCCAGCTCTAATATTCCATGGAGCTGTAACTTCTTTTCATATAATCCCATATTAACTAGCAGAAGACTCTTCATTTGACAAATCTTTATTGGAAATCTGCTGCATTTCATTAACTTCATTTCAAAGAAGGTAAATACAGTCATAGAACTGTTTGCCTTTGTTCATAGACAGTGGTTGTGCTCCTACCTCTTGAGTAAAAACTGTATTTCATACATAAATATTTTTGAGATATTTGATGCCATGTTATATCTGTAGCCTATAAATTAGATAAATATAAATTTCTTGATCTGACTGACTCAAATCCCAGTTAAGATCACTTATGCAAGTATTAAATAGATCCCAAGTGTTGGGTTTTCCATGAGAGATTAGCACATGGCACTAACTGTTTTCATTTTTTCTCATTTGTGTGTTTTCTCTATTTTTCTGCCCAGAATATTTCAGGTGTTCTTAACTATTCACCTGGAAAAAAGCTTGGCAGCAAGTTTTTATAACTATATTTGTGTCAACAGCTGCAGTGTGTATATACATAGATATATAATGGGTGCCTGTATGGTGTTTCACAAATGTAAATGTAGATCAGCATGAGTATGTATAAATATATATGTCTATACACATATATGACCTTATTTTTAGTGGACAACTTATATAAATATGTAATTTTTCATTTAATCACCATATATACAAAAGAATATCTATTAATAATGAAGTAACAGGGCTTCTGCGCTTATTTCTCTTTTCTTCTTTATTCTTTTCTCCACTTTCACACTTCCTCCTCCCCTTTCCTTATCTCCTTCCTTCCCTTCTCTCTTTGCTTCTTTTCTTCAGCTCCTGTCCTTACCTTGCAACTACATGTCCAATCAATCTACCAGCTGTGTTCATTTTTCCTCCTTTGGAATTCTGACTTGCCATCTCCTTGCATGCTTTTTTGCAGTTCATGTATTGTCTGCATTAGTCCAGTACTCTCCTAACTGGTCTCACAAGACTAAAAGCTCCCTGAGAACAGAGATCATGTTGGCAAACTTATTCTCTTGGAGCCTAGCCTACCTCTGGACACACACCTGGCACTGAATAGTTACTTTTTGAATAAATGGAATGAATGGGTGGATGGATGGATGGATGGATGGATGGATGGATGGATGGATGGGTGGATGGATGGATGGATGGTGTCTGTGTCTCTAAACAGTGTTTTTTCTTTTATTTACTTACTTTCTTTTTTTTTCTTTTCTTTTTCTTTTTTTTTTTGAGATGGAGTTTCACTCTTGTTGCCCAGGTTGGAGTGCAGTGGTGTGATGTCGGCTCATTGCAACCTCTGCCTCACAGGTTCAAGCGATTCTCCTGCCTCAGCCTCCCAAGCAGCTGGGGTTACAGGCATGTGCCACCACACCCAGCTAATTTTGTATTTTTAATAGAGACAGGGTTTCACTATGTTGGTCAGGCTGGTCTCGAACTCCTGACCTCAAGTGATCTGCCCGCCTCGGCCTCCCAAAGTGCTGGGGTTACAGGCGTGAGCCACCACACCAGGCCAACAGTGGTTTTCCTAAAAGGCAACTCTGATGTCACTCAGTTGCTTAAAATTTCTCAGTAGCTCTTCATCTATTTCAGTATAAAGTTCAGTTTCCTTAATGTGGTATACAAACCACTTCACAATCTTGATTCTACTTAGCTTACCAGCCTCAGCATTTGTGGCTCTACTATTGTACTCAAAACCATAGTAACCTTAACTGACACTCTCTCCCAACTGTTTTCATGCTTGGAATACCTCCTCTTACCAATATTTTCCTTGTTAATACCTCCCTACTTTCCAGGACAGAACTAATATATTTATGAGAATCTATTAATGATCTCATCCTATTCGAGGTTTACAGCAACCCTGAGGTAGGTAACATTACAGTAGGTAACACAGTAAGAAACCCTATAACTGATATTTTAACCCAACTTTCATTCCTTCAAAGCCTGGCACACTGCCTGGACCAACAATATCATATTCTACTCCCTGCCAGGGAATTTCTGAACCATCTGAGTCTCAGTTTCCTCTTCTGTAAAATGAATTTCATAAGACCTGCGTCACAGACTTAGTGCCAGCGTAAAAAGACCTGAGGCGTGTAATGTCCTTGGCACAGTGCCTGCACATTGAGGATGGGCAACTCGTGAAGGCTGGCATTATTAATGAGGTTGCTGCTTTGGTTATGGTTACACTCAGTGCCTCTAGGGACTCTTTTTTACATCTAAGGGTTTGTCTCTAATAACCAGACAACCACAAGCTTTGCTAAGATTTCTACTCCTGTTTACTTGCTTGAGTATAATGACCAGACTCACCTTCCTGTCCTTTGGAAGCATTTGGTTCCTCTGTTGATTAACAAGAAACTAGGGAGGAAGGATGAGCCAGGCAGATTTGTCATCTTTGCTCTCCTGTGGCTTCCCACCACTGACAGTCATTTTCTCCAAGGAAGGGAGAAAGATTACTTTATCCCTTGCCAGTTGCAGGAGAAAGCCCATGGAGGGGTGGAATGTTCACCTGGCACCCACCATCAGGAAGCATGCCTTAATGTTCCATGCTGTAACTTTTAACTCGATGTTAACCGGATAGAAGGTCCTTCCTTTAACAAATATGTATTGAGCATCCACTATGTGAATTCTCTATGGACCAGGCGCACTGTATTAAGCAAAAGCTGCATGGCATTGAGTGAAACAGCGCTCTTTGATAGAGACAAAATGACAACGATTTTGTCTTACAGGATTTTGATGACAATCAGATGAGTTAACTAATGACTGGGAGATGTGTTTCATATACTGTAATGTGCTGCCTTCAATGAAGTTGACTGAATGAATAAGTGATACATGTGTGTCAACGTCCCACAAAGTTAAGAGAGTCAGGAACTCAGTGGGTTGGAAAGTAGACAAGAAGAAAGGCTTCAGCTAGGTGGGGAGTCCTACTTGTGTTTTTCCCCTAAACTACAGGTTGCTTTGAGCCAGCAGTTGCTGCAAATAATGAATGAAACTAGCCAAGGAGAGATAGAGGAAATCTTGTAATTAAATCCATCTTTTCTTGCTCTGATGCATTATATCTAAGAAGCCTTTGTGTATTTGCTCACACCTCCTTCTCTTTTCCTCTTCTCTTCTCCATCTCTACTTGGTGGCTTCTCTCTTTTCTTAGCTAAGCAGAGGCAAGGAGGTTAGAGGCATTTACAGCCTTCACTGGCATAGTTTTTTCACTCCAAATAACTTTCTAGTGTTGACATTATAGTGATTCCTGTTACCCTGAAACATTACCACAAAGCATTTTTAAGCAAAGATCTTTTTTTTTTTTTTTCCTTATTTGCTTCAGAAATGTCCAGGGTCACCACCACCCTCCCAACAAACCACTGATACTGAAGAAAAAAAGAATGTGCCTAGGTGGGCATGGGGACACATGCCTATATTCCAGCTACTCAGGAGGCTGAGGCAGGGGGATTCAAGCCTGCAATGAGCTACAATCAGACCATTCCACTGCAGCCTGAGCAATAGAGCAGGACTCTGTCTCTTAATTTTTTTTTAAGGTGGCTAGTTGGACAACTTGAGGTCCTTCATCTTACCATCTGGTCTGTCTCTCTCATGAGGCTCCCTTAAACAAATTAGAGCCAGTCACTACATTGAGTCCTGGTTCTTTTTCTCAGTAGTGCAAGGAAGAGCTCTCTGGGAGTCTAGATGTGATCTCAGCAGAGAAAAATTCAGAAGTCGCTGCAGGCTGAGATCAGTGGGGATGAGGCATCATCTCCCTAGGGAAAGAGGAGAAGAATCCCTCCTTCTTTCTCCCTGCTCCTCACCCAACCCTCCCCTTCCTGAGTCAGACAGAACAGAGCGCAGAGAAGCTCAGTGGTATGGAATGACCGCATGTAGAGAAGGGGAGGAGGAGAGATAAGAGGGCTCCAAGGCTGCCTTCCAGCTCTGTTGTTCATGGTTCTAGACAGTTTCCTCCCAGGTCCTCAGTCTGCAGGGTGGATGCTATTTATGCTCACATATTCTTTGCTGGTCAGGGGGTGGGGTTAGGATTTCTGTCATTCCAAGTAGGTTTTACCAATGGCAGTAACACCACAAGGATTCTAATTTATTCTAGAGTTCCCTGCATCCAATAGGGACAAGAACAAAGAATGCAGATTCCAAAATGAAACAAAACTTGGTTCCAATGCTGACCTTTACACTTCAAGTTGTATGAACCTGATCGATTCACTCTATATTTGGAGCCTTTACTTCTTTTCATCTTAGGCAGCACAGCCTCCTAAGTGGAAGATGAGGAAGGAAAGTTTGAACATTGACTCAGTAATCAGATGAAGGCAGTTTGACTGAATGTCTGGTGATTCCTCTGAAATCTGTATTGCAGGGGTGCGGATGAGATGGATGCTGTGTGTATAGCAGATTCACCAAGACACCAAGAACCTTCCTCTCCTTTTCCCCTCTGTCTAAGTTCTAGTCAGGCTGGTTTCTCCTGGGGTCCACAGGAAACTCTAAGGATCCGAATAAAGCTCTTTCTTCAAGAACTCATTCCCTCATCTCTTCTGCGTAGGTCATCCTGATGTTGAACAGCCCTGTAAGTCCAGTGTCCGCACCTGGAGCCCAAATTCAGCTGTCAACCCACACACAGTTCCTCCAGCCTGCCCTGAGCCTCAAGGCTGCTACCTCGAGCTGGAATTCCTCTACCCGTTGGTCCCTGAGTCTCTGACCATTTGGGTGACCTTTGTCTCCACTGACTGGGACTCCAGTGGAGCTGTCAATGACATCAAACTGTTGACTGTCAGTGGGAAGAACATCTCCCTGGGTCCTCAGAATGTCTTCTGTGACATCCCACTGACCATCAGGCTCCAGGACGTGGGCGAGGAGGTGTACGGCATCCAGATCTACACGCTGGACGAGCACCTAGAGATCGATGCTGCCATGTTGACCTCCACTGCAGATACCCCACTTTGTCTACAGTGTAAGCCCCTGCAGTATAAGGTGGTCCGGGACCCTCCTCTCCAGGTGGATGTGGCCTCCATCCTACATCTCAATAGGAAATTCATAGACATGTAAGTGCACTCTCTGAATAGGGAGTTTATTAAGTGGGTGGGTTGTGGAGAAACGTGAGGCAGGTCAGAGAGGCCTGGACAGGAAAGGGAAGGTTCATCACAGCCAAGACTCATTCTATGGATTGTAACCCATCATTGGGTGTAGATTTGTCTTAACATGGCAGAGTTGATATCATGGGAGGAGCAATGGGAAAGGGACCACTAGACCTGGATTTAGTGACAAATCTGATGTGTGACCTTAAGCCTCATAAGCCTTTCTTAATTTTAGTCATTCCAATAGTAAATGAAGGAGGTTGGATGAGAGTAGCAGTGAGAAAATCATTTATTACTAATGAAAGTAGAAGAACTGAAGTTTGTGAATGATTTTCTTTTTATATTAAATTAAAGACAATTTATGCATTTTGATTGCTTTTTCAGTGGGTGAATCAGGGGTGAAGTTATAGTAGATTGACTGGGGGTTGGGCACAGTCCTAGGTATTTGCACAAAAATTGTGCTGGAAAGTGAACATCAACTTTAACAGCGTTTTTGTCTTGTTTCCTGAGGCAGAACAGTGGTTCAAACCCACTTGATCCTTAAGGCCTTTGCAGCTTTGGGTTTCTGTCACTGTTTTTGGATGCTCACTGCTCTTATGTGAAGTAGTACTTGTCTTTCATACTCACCTCTCAGCTGGGGAGGTGGCTCACACCTGTTATCCCAACATTTTGGGAAGCCGAGGCAGGTGGGTCACCTGAGGTCAGGAGTTTAAGACCAGCCTGGCTAACATGGTGAAACCCTGTCTCTACTAATGATACAAAAAAATTAGCTGGGTGTGGTGATGTATGCCTGTAATCCCAGCTACTCGGGAGGCTGAGGCAGGAGGATCGCTTGAACCCAGGAGGCAGAGGTTGCAGTGAGCCGAGATCACGCCATTGCACTCCAGCCTGGGCAACAAGAGTGAAACTCCATCTCAAAAAAAAAAAAAAAAAATTATTCACTTCTCAAGTCACCTCTCTATTACTTCTTCCCCAAACATCCTCAGAATTTCTGTCTTAGGAGGAAGACCATCTTATAATGAAGCCATTGGTGCTTTTCCTGTGTACTAGAAAATGGGCTAAGTTCTTTGCATCTTTTACTCATTCCATCCTCTCCACAACCACAGCCGTACTATTCTTATTTTACAAAGAAGAAAACTGGGGCTTAGAGATGTGAAGTCACTCATCCAAGATCACACAGTTAGGAAGTGGTGAAGGTAATGATTGGAATTTCGTTCTGACTTCTAAGCCAGTGCACTCAACTGATGCTCAATTAAAGATATGATTCCAACTTCTGTTTTAATCTACAAAAAGGATAGAGTCTTCGCCATCTAATTTGGGTGTCAATGGTTTCTATAGGCCTTTTGTGGCTCTTTATTTGGTTCTAAAATAATGTAAGACAATCTCCGCTCTGTCTACTTGAAAATATTCACTAAGCCAATCATTAATGGAAACCAAGTTCTAGAGGAAACTTTTAATCTTTTTAAAGGGCAGAACCACTTTCAAACACTTTACCAGCACTTCCTTTTACATACTAGCAATTAATGTGCACATCACAGGCAAACTCTTTCTAATTCATTGAATCAAAGATGAGGAACAGCTGTTTAAGAACTCAGAACGAGCACTTGGTTTGTGTTTGAGAATGTACTTAAAATTTAAAGGATAGTCCTGCCTTAAAAATATTCCATAACCCTGTCTCTTCCATCTCCTCACTTGTCTAGAGTGGTAGAGTTCTATAATATGCTTCCACTTAAACTTTCTTTATAAAGCAATGGAGGGAAGAAATAATAGATGTTTTAAAATCTCAGTTTAAACTCAGCTTTCATTTTTTTTGCCTCAAGTTATGAGCCTGTGAGAGCTGCCATGGGTTGATAAGTGTGAAATGGTGAAAATTAAACTGAATAAATGAAAGCACCCTTAGTGATTTAGCTTAGTTCTATTCTCAGCTAAATCTCAGCTAAATCACTAACTGCCTCTACCCTCTTAGGTGAGTCACTTGTCCTTTCTAGTCTTCCGATGCCTCAACTTGGCATGCAGGAGGTTGCACTAGATTAGTTCTTCTCTTTTTTTTCTTTCCAAGACAGAGCCTTGCACTCTCACCCAGGTTGGAGTGCAGTGGTGCGATCTTGGCTCACTGCAACCTCTACCCACCAGGTATAAGCAATTCTCCTGCCTCAGCCTCCTGAGCAGCTGGGATTACAGGCACGCATCACCATGCTGGGCTAATTTTTGTGTTTTTAGTAGAGATGGGGTTTCACCGGGTTGGCCAGTCTGGTCTGAGAGCTCAACTCGTGATCTGCCTGCCTCGGCCTCCCAAAGTGCTGGGATTACAGGCTTGAGCCACTGTGCCTGGCCAGTTCTTCTCAATTTGGATTGCACATTTAAAAACTGGGACATTTAAAAATTGCCTGGGTCTCCCTTGTATCCCATTTCCACTCTCTATCCCCTCAGATATTTATTTAATGGTTAAGAATAAGTCCTGACCATTAGAACTTTTAAAATCTCATAAGGTGATTATAATTTGCAACCAAGTTTAAAAACCAGTGCAGTAAAACAAGTTCTCAAAGTGTGGCCCCAGACCCACGGCATTAGTATCACCTGGGAACTGAGAAAGGCCAGGCTCTCAGGCCCCAGTCTAGCCTAGTGAATCAGAAACTCTGAGTGCAGGGCCTCTCCAGGTAATTTGGATGCTAGTTAAAGTTTAATAGCCACTGCTCTAAATTGTCTCCAAGGTCCAGGAATCTCCAAGTTCTCTTTCACTCATGCAACTACTTGCTCAATTCACAAATATGTACTGAGAACATTCTATATGCCAGATTCTGCACTGGAAACAGTATTAGGATGACTCAGACCAGTCCCTTTCCTAAAGGCACGCAAACTTAAGTGCTGAACTCCTACCTACTTTGTAAAAGTGCTACATACTATGCCAAATCATCAGTATTGAGGTCGACACTCTTACGCACAATTTGTTCTTTCATTCACTCTCCAAATATTTCTTTAGTCCCTACTATGTGACAGGCACAAGGGCTAGACTGAGGCTTTCATTGGCCTTCCTCTTGTACTCTTTTGTGTTTCAAGGAGTTTATTGGAGATCTGGGCTGGGCTGGGCTGGACTTCCTGACCTGAATATTCTCTGAGGCTGAAAAAAGAGAAACACATCCTTCCAAATCAACCTACCATTTCAACTCCTTTATCTCTTGGTAATTTGAGTTCTGAACCCCACCACAAATACCTCTTTGTGTGTGTATGTGTGTGTATGTGTATTTTGCTGCTTTCACATTTTTTCCATATCAAATAAATTGGCTCTTATACAAGTTCTATATAAAGACTGTTTTGGAGAAAAAGAGGAGAGGGAAAAAATGCTTTCTTTTTCTTTCCTGACTCAACCCATTACATGATTCCCTTTGACCTTTGTCTTCATTTTTTTTCTCTCAACAAAAATATTTATTCTTTCTGTTATCTACACTGGAGATAGTTTCCCAAGGTATGGCAGTGATGAAGAGAGAGTCTTCTGTGCTTACCCCATGGAAACTTCTAGTAGACTGATTACTTTTGGCCAGGACCAGAAAGAAATGTGGAACATCTCCATCTCCCTTAAGTGGAAACCCCTCTATTGAATGAGAAATGCCACTATCAGAAGAAAGGGGACCAGTGCCAACTCTGCTACAAACTCATCATATGACACAAAGACACACCACATCACCTATTTGGACCTCAGTTTCCATATCTGTACAATGAGAGGACAACACATTAAGCCCTTCTCTGTGGGCAGACACAGAGAAGTGTCTGGGGTTACAGGTGATTCATATACTTTTTTGTAGTAAAAGGAATTCAGTAGGGATTATCTGTAAGAATCAGTACCCAGAGGAAACCTCACTGGCTCTGGATGCCCTTCTGAAATGTGGACCACAATAATAATGACAACCTTTACTAAGTATTTCCTCTGCTTTAAGTGCCTTACAGACACTTCTGAGGTAGGTGAAAAAGCTTAAACTCAGAGAAGTGATTAAACTAACCTCATACAGCTAGTAATGGCATAGACAGGCCTCAAACCTAAGTCTAATTCCAAATTTCACCTTCCTAACCGCTACTCACACTACCTCCTACTGCAGTAATGTAAAGGCAGAATTTTAGAGCCGAGAAATGCATCCGATCTGGTCAAAGCTCTAAATATAGCAAGCGGAAGACAGGCTTACAAGTCAGAGGCCACTAGTCCACAGTCAGTCCCTGTGGCCCACCCTTGATGTCTTGGTGTCCAATAACACAAGTTACACAGGCAGTTCTTTATGCTTCTGGCTGGGAAGAAATAACAGCGAAGCATCTTTTTCTCCACTTGGCTGTCAAGTGCTTCTGTACTGAGCACTGTGCTCCTTGGCCTATATGAAATCTTCAGATTTCTCCAAGAAGTAAATACTCTGGGCAAAACTAAGAAAGAAAAGTATAAAGCAAACCAGGAACAGTGAAAAGTAGCTCACTCTCGTTATCCATCTACTCGTTGGTCTGTCTCATTCATCCATCACTTCATGAAACAAATATTCACTGGGTATCTATTAGGCACTATGCACTATGTTAAGAAATGGTGATCCAGTGGTGCTGAAAACTCAAGGTGCTCACAGTCTATGGGAAAAGAGAGGCACAGGCAAGCAGTGCCATTGCAGTAAAATAATATTCTGATGAAAGAAACAGAAACACAGAGTCAGAGGTTTCTAACACAAACTTGGATGAATTGAAGTCTAAACTTAGAACTAGAATGTAAACACCCTGAGGGCTAGATTTTTTTCCCTCTTTTTCTCCCGGTGCATTCCAAGCACCTAGAACAATTATAGACACAAGGTAAGCACTGAGTAAATGTTCTTTAAATGGTTCTGGAAAGAAGAATGAGGAGTTTAGCATTTGAAGAGAAATGGAGAAGCCAAAATGTAATAAGCTTGTACTTTGTGTCAGGCACTAAATAGGGACTTTACATAGATAATCTCATTTGATTTAAT